TGATTATGCTAATTGGAGTTGGAACATAAACTCATTAAACCATTCATTGCTCACATAACTAGTCCCAGCCAGGGAGAGGAAAGTGGCCTGTTACAAAACAGGTTTGTGATGTCAACAATGATGCAGTCTGTTTGAATACCAAAGGTCAGCATCTGGGCTTCCAAATGCAACTCCGTAGTCCAAATTCGGGAAGACTGCTCCTTCCAACTGCAGTAGAAAAGGCACGCAGGATTCAGTATAGGCCTGACGGAGGAAAAGTAAAATCAGCAAAACGGGTTGCTGTAAATGCCAGAGGTAATTAAACCATAGGGGGTAGTTTTAAAACCCTTTTTAAAAAACACAGTCGTGTCTCATCTTGCAAAGTGATTTTTGTACAGATTGAGCAGCTGATTTTCTCTTGTTAAAATAAACGAACTAAGGTCAGGGGAAAAGGTTTTCTCCACATTGGCTTATTGGGCTAAGATCTGATCATCTATTTGAGGCCAAGAGCCTTTTAGTAGCAGTGACTTTCAAGGGCTGCTTTTTGTAGGCACCAAGTCAAAGACCTCGTTCCAGACCGGCCTGGCAATGTCCCTCTCTGGGAGAACGCTGAGAATAGAATAGAATGTAGAATAGAATAGAATAGAATAGAATAGAATAGAATAGAATAGAATAGAATAGAAAATATGGAATGGAATGGAATAGAATAGAATAGAATAGAATAGAATAGAATAGAAAATATGGAATAGAATAGAATGGAATAGAATAGAATAGAAAATATGGACTAGAGTAGAATAGAATAGAATAGAAAATATGGAATAGAATAGAATAGAATAGAAAATATGGAATAGAATAGAATGGAATGGAATGGAATGGAATAGAATAGAAAATACGGAATAGAATAGAAAATATGGAATATAATAGAATAGAATAGAAAATATGGAATAGAATAGAATAGAAAATATGGAATAGAATAGAATAGAGAATGTGGAATAGAATAGAGAATGTGGAATAGAATAGAATAGAATAGAATAGAATAGAGAATATGGAATAGAATAGAATAGAATAGAGAATATGGAATAGAATAGAATAGAATAGAGAATATGGAATAGAATAGAATAGAAAATATGGAATAGAATAGAATAGAACAGAACAGAACTTTGGAGGTCTTCTAGTCCAGCCCTCGGCTCAAGCAGGAGAACCATTTCAGACAAGTGACTGTCTAGCCTCCTCTTAAAAATCTCCAGTGATGGAGCACCCACGATTTCTGAAGGCAACTTCTGTTCCACTGGTTGATTGTCCTCACTGTCAGGAAGTTTCTCTTTAATTCCAGATTGCTTCTCTTTTTTTTAGTTCTATTTTAGAATGTCTGGGTACATCTGTGGGTTGTTGCCGTTGTTCAGTCACTGAGCCGTGTCCAAATGCTCGCGGCCCTATGGAGCATGCCCACCCACCCCCATCCTCCATTTTGGTCTCCTGGACTCTGCCCAAACTCACCTTCACTGCGCCAATGATACCAACTTAACTATTTCATCTTCTGCCATCCCCTTCCACCTTTTGCCTTATCTGTGTACAAGTTGCTTCAAAATGGGCAGAAGCAGAATCGCCCGCTTCCAACCGTTGTGTTGCTAAAAGTCATGGGAGGGGCTCATGCCCCCCCCAAAAAACAGATGAGGAACCCACAACTCAATCCCCTCTGGATCTAAACACACCCCAGACGGCCTCCTGTTTTGTTTTGTTTTATTTGTAACCCCGCTTTTACTTATTTCTCTGCCTTTGATTTCTTAATAAAAGTATTCCCTCAGAAGCTGCACAGCTGTATCGCCACCCATCCCTACCCTGCCCCACCCACGCTGAAGTTCAAGCTCCTTCTGTTGTTGTAGTTGTTGTTGTTGCCCAGTGTTTTTAGACTGAAAATAGAGCCTGGCTTTTTCAAAGCTTGTCATAGAACTGACAGGCTGCAGGAAAGGAAGGAAGGTTTGTTTTTCTGAGTCATTAGGACAATGGAAGGAGCGGATGGCCGAGAGGGCAGGACTTAAGGTGAACTGTCTTCAGGGTCATGTCTTGGCTCTGGTTTCTCAAAAAGAAAAAGAGGGACCTTGGTGGGCTCCTCCCTCAGGAGGGAGAGAAAAGCAAAGGAAGATTAAACAGGAGAGCAGCGCAAGGAGGCTGTGGGCTCCTGGAAAGGCATGATGAAGGAGATGGTGTTAGACTTCCGGAGGAAAAGAGAGGAACCTGCCCCACTTACATCGAAGGGGGGCTGTGTGGAGAGAGTTTCCTCCTTCAAATTCCTGGGAGTCTACCTCTGTGAAGATCTTACCTGGAAAACTAATACAACCCAAGTGGCCAGAAAGACCCAACAGAGACTCCACTTCCTCAGGGTCTTGCAAAAGAACAGGGTAGAACGACGACTCATGACCTTCTTCTACCGGTCTACTATTGAAAGCGTCCTCACACACTGTATTGTGGTTTGGTATGCTGGCTTCACAGCCGCGGACAGGAAGGTATTACAGAGAGTGGTGAGCACGGCACAAAACATCGTGGGCTGTTCCCTGACGCCACTGGCTGACATCGCCACGGCCCGTTGACTTGGCAGAGTGAGGAAAATTCTCAGGGATGACTCACACCCTGGTTGGTACCTCTTTACTCTCCTACCATCGGGTGGGAGATATAGAAACATAGCCAGCCATACCGACAGGCTGAAGAACAGCTTCTATCCATGGACTGTCAGGCTCTTGAACGGGACATAATAATTTCATGCATGACAGACCCGTGAGGCTGGCGTGCTGTGCAATTAGCTCACAGGGTGTAATAAGTTGGTGGGTTTGTAGTCACTGTGTGTTGTGGTGGTGGGGGGCACGGAGGGAGGCTCAGCCAGTCTCACTGTATACATGCTATACTTTGATAATAAAGGTTCGTTCAATCATTCATTCATTCATTCATTCATTCATTCATTCATTCAGGAAGATCCAGCCAGCTAGCTGAGAAATTTGGGCAGAACAGTCTCAGAAAGCTCAAAACGAGCAGATCCCCCAGAGACCAGGGTGTAAAGGCCTATTTATTGCAGAGGTAGGAAAGTGAGCCCCAGAGCAGGTAACCGACACGAGGCTTTAAGCACACGGCAAGCATCAAACACAAAGACCTCTTTATATGCTTAAAAATAGGCACAGCCCTTTGTGCCTTTGAAGATAGCTTTAGAACAGCTGCTGCCAAGAAAAAGGCAGATGAAAAACGGGTATCAAAATATCAGAAGAGTCTTTAACTTGCTCCAGGGAGCCCAATCTAGCAAAAGACAAAGTGTGGGACTGGTTACAGTGAATGGTCCCCGCAGTAAGCTAGGAAGGCCCAGAAGAGGGATTTCATGCTGGCGGTGGTTGTAAAAAAGCACCGGAGAAGCAACGGCATCTGGCAATAATGAAGAGCTAAATTAGGCAACCAAGAAACAAACCCCGGTGGTGGCAGCAAGCCGCAGGGGTTGTGAGGATGGAGGTAGACTCTCCTCCAGGCTGCCTCTGAGTTGACAAGGTCTTGCAATAGGTTGCTTTATTTCATAGCTTTGGTCAGCCGAGGGGAGAGAAAATTTAATGCTTGCATTGGTATCAAAGGCCATTTCATAAAGTCTGGGCAGTTGTGTTAAATTGTTCATTCCTATTGTTTATTTTGTTGGTTGGCTTGGACTTACTGTAGGATCTGTCCCTCATGGGAGAATTTGGGGAAAGAAGGCAGCCAATAAAGGTTTCTCTGATTTTGGTTGAAAAAAATGAAATTCCTGAGTCATTCTTCATGCAAGTATCCACTTACTCTCCTTCCTTTTGTTTATGGTAGATTGTTTGACTAGGGCAGGGATAGGCAACCTTGGCTCTTTTATGACTCATGGACTTCAACTCCCAGAATTCCTGAGCCAGCATGGCTCAGCTTGGAAACCTCTCCCTTTCCCCTCAGCATGGCTGGCTCAGGAATTCTGGGAGTTGAAGTCCATGAGTCATAAAAGAGGCAAGGTTGCCTACCCCTGGACTAGGGTTTAAAATTTTTAAGCTTTGCTGGATATCTTCGCAAAATTTACACGCTCAAAACAACAACAACAAAATGTTGCTCTTTTGCAGAATGATGAAAACATGTCACTGCACAACATCACACTCCCAATGCCATCAAGTCCAGAACAGCTGGAACCCGAACCAATGTATAAGGTAAAGTGGCAGTTGACATTTTGAAGATGAGACCTTAGAATGGAATTGTCCAGGATTTTGGAGAGTTTTAATTTTGCTAGGAAAATCACATCAGACGGACCCCAGATATAGAGAGTATAATCTAAACTGTTTATACGTCTTCCTTAAATAATTCCAAGATGAATGTTTTTCTCATTACTGAATTATTTTTTTCAGGCTTGGGATGCTCGTACTATCAGGTTAAGTCCCCAAAATATATTAGGCACTTAAATAAACCTGTTTTGAAAGGAGCCATTTAGAGACATAGAATTTAAGACAGTAACGTAGAATAGGAACACAGGCTAGTTGAAATAAATAAGCTGACAAAATTATTTAAAAACCAGATAGAACAGACCTTTCTAAGTAATACTTTTAAACATGTGAAGTGGGAGAAAAGAAAACACACCAGAAGGGCTTTAAAAGTTAGATCAAAACATGAATATAAACAATTTAGTAGAATTGAGCGGGGAAAATGTCCAATGATTTAATTAATAATAAAACTGCAAATATCTGAGCTATGATCTAAATGAAGATTGTACATAGGCAGTCCCTAACTTAGGTAACATTCCATTTTGGAAAGTATTACATAATCCAATTTTTCAGAATAAATTGAGTTACGCTTCCTACATTTTTGGATGTGCGGTGTAAATGTTCGTATTTATTGTGTAGCTGTTAGATGTGGCATCAAAAAAATGGCGTAACTTTATTTTTATGTAAGTCTGGTAATACATGGACTGCCTGAATGATGGTAGCACTGGTAGAAAGTTCACTACACATACCAGTTATTTTGTGAATGGCAGGTATTAGAAAAATAATAAGGCTTCCAGTCTTTTTAACTTTATTTCTCCTCCTAAACAAATGCCTGTACCTGGGTCCAAAACTATACATATCTGTCTT